AAAGTAGTATTGAGGTATTTGTCTTCAATCGCATTCATTCTGTCTTCCATTGATTCAGTTCTACTCCTTTGCCCATTTAATGTGTTATCTATTTCTGAAATCTTAGTATTCATCTTCTGGATTTCTTTTTGTTGTTTTTATATTGTTTCTGATTTTTTTTTTTGTTAATTTGTTCTTGTATTGTTTTCCTAAATTGTTCTAGAATTTTGTCTGTGTTTTCCTTATTTTTCTCATTGTTTCCCTTGATCTTGTCAGTGTTTTCCTTGATCTCACTCTCAATCCATTCAAGGTATCCAAATATAATTCTTCTGAAGTCCTTATCAGGGACTCCCAATGCTGCATCTTCCGTACATATGTTTTCTGGGTTTGTATCCTGGTCTCTTATTTCTACTACTTTATTTTGCTTTTTTGTGTGGACTATGATGGTCTGTTGTCTCCGAGACATTGTGTGGTGGTGTATTTATGTTTAATTTGTGGTTGTATGTTGGTGTGATTTGTACAAGACCATCAGCCCTATCAGATTTTATGTATATAAAGCTTCAAAAATTAAAGCAATGTAGTATTGGTATGGTAAAAGACAGACCAGTAGAAAGGTACACAGAGTTCAGAAATAACCCAAATTCATAAGGGAGTTTAGTATGTGATAAAGACCACATCTCAAATTAGTAGGATGAAGACAGACTTTTTAATAAATTTGTCGTGGGAGATTTGGATAGTTATTTGAACAAAGTAATGTTGGATCCATTCCTCATTTACACACCAGTATAAACTCCAAAGAGATCAAAGATTCCACAAACATGGCCAACAAAAGTATGTTGAACTTTTTGTAATTTTACTAGTCTGAATAATAAAAAAAAGCCAAACCCTTTGCCTTAAAGTCAATTTTGACTTACAGCCATTCTACAGTACAATTAAAACTGTCCTATAGGTTTTGTAACACCATATATCTTTAAGGAAGCACACTGCCAACTCTTTCTCCCACAGACGGTCTGGTGGGTTTGAACTCCTGACCTTTTGTTTAGCAGCCAAGTATTTTAACCACTGCACCACCAGGGTTCCTTATTAGTTGCCTAGGAGAGAGGTAGTATGTGATGACAGGTTCTTTTTTTTTTTTTTTTCCCCCCTCTTCCTGTTGTTGATTTATAATTTTATTGAGGATAATTTTAATTTGTATTTCCTTACTATGACCAAGGTTAACTAACCATCCTTTCACATGAATAAGGATTTTCCTGTCCTTTACCAATTCCTTTTTCATTGGGTTTTTACCTCCTCCACCCTTTCTTTTTAACCCCCTCTCATTTTCCTTATATTGCAGGAAGTTTAGCCCTGTATCTGGATATAAATTGCAGTTATTGTTTCCAGTTTGCCATTTTAAAAGTCTACTCATTGTAGTTTTTGTCTTTTGGAATTTTTATTTTTTTATGTTGCTGAGTTAATCAGTTTTAAATTGCTTCCGGATTTTGAGTCAGAAAGGTATTCCTTTCTCCATGTATTGCTGGTGAGAATACCAAATGGTGCAGTCCTTTAGAGATGACAATAATGATACCTACTAAAATTACACATGTATTCACCCTTGGCTTTATGATCCCATTTCTGAATATCCCACTGATATGAGTATATCACAAGTAGGAAATGGTGTCAATGT